CTTCACATTGAGGAGGTCTTGGTATTCTTTCAGGTATCTTGCCATTTCACTCTTCGTGGTTCTCAATTCATTTTCTAATTTGTTGATTGTGTCCTATTGAAAGCCAAAAAAAAAGAAAGAAAAGAGAAAGAAACCCAAGTATAAATCCCTACTGTTCCCATTTGACTATAACACATATTGCTGTAGTTGCAAAGGCCTATTTTCAGTTAAAATCAAAGTGCAGGGCGGTGCCCCTGCTAGGGCTCAAAGAAGTAGGGGGCTAGCCCAATATGCCGGAGGTGGTGGGTTCAAACCCAGCCCCAGCCAAAAACTGCAAAAAAACAAAACAAAGTGCATATCTTTGACAATCTCTCCTAAAACAATTGCCTATTCTTATTACAAAACTTTTCTGGGCTGAAATCTCCTGCTTCATGAAGCATGAGATGGAAAAAAAAAAACTGATGGGCAGTGCCTGTGGCTCAAGGAGTAGGGCGCCTGCCCCATTTGCAGGAGGTGGTGGGTTCAAACCCAGCCCTGGCCAAAAACTGCAAAAAAAAAACAAAACAAAAAAAACACTTGATTAAAAAAAGATCTTTTTCTATTCCTTCCTAAAGTCTAATCATCATCCTCATAAAATTCTGACAAGGAAATTAAATTGACAGAAAAATTCTGTTTCTCACTGATTCTTTTCTTTAGGGGAGAAGGAAATAGCTGAATTCAAAATTCTATTCTCTAAAACATTTTCTTTGTATCTGAATTATTTTTTTCTTCTCCCCAGAAGATGAAGATTTTTTAATTAGAATAGGTTTCCCGTGAACATTATGTAAAATAATTTGCCTATTCCTGTCTGTCTACCTAACTAAGGACAGGGAGTGGTTGGTAAAACTAGTCACAGAAGGTGCTGGTTACAGAATCTTTCAGAACAGATGGCGAGCTCTTCACTGTATTATCTATTAACCAGATGATCCAATCGGTGCTGTAAAGTAACTTGTAGTTAATGCAGGTCAGTAAAGAGTGGGCACAGCCGCAGGCCGGAGGCAACGCCCCACTCTTTCTTCTCCCCTCCCCCACTCAATCCCCAGATAGGGCTGGGCCGCTTCAATGCGGAACACAGACCAAGCGCATTCCCAGACTGCAGTCCAAGTGCCCCACCCTCGCCCTCCAAGTGCCCCACCCCTACCACGCTGTCTCCAAGGAGCCAAGCCCTACCCCCAATAACTGCAGGTAGCTGCCTCAACCCCGGTCTCCACTTTCTGGGCGCAGCTGCAACTGTCTACCCTTTTCTGCGGCCCCCGCCCCTCCGGCACCCATGTGTTTCCAATGGCGTCCCACCTGCATAGCACTGATGTCGGCATTTTGCTTGTCCTCCAGCTCCTGCAGCTGCTTCTCCAGCGCTTCGTTCATGCCCCGGCAAGCCTCGATCTCCAGGGTCTTGGCCTTGAGCAGGCGGCGGCTCTCGGACACCTCGTCCTTGGCGGCGCGCACGGCATCGGTGTTCTTGGCGGCGCTCTCGGTCAGCACCGTGAAGCGGCTCTTGAACCACTCCTCGGCGTTCTGCATATTCTTGGCGGCCAGCTTCTCGTACTGCGCGCGGATGTCCTTGAGCGCGGCGGAGAGGTCGGGCTTGGTGGACACGTCCATCTCCACCGAGATCTGAGCGTACTGGATCTGGGCCTGCAGCTCGGCGATCTCCTCCTCGTGCACTTTTTTCAGAAAAGCGATCTCGTCCATGAGGCTGTCGATGCGCTTCTCCAGCTCGGCGCGGGCCAGCGCCGCGTCGTCTGCGCCTTTGCGCGCCTCCATCAGCCGGCCCTCGGCGTCCTCGCGGCTCAGCACCTCCTCTTCATAGCGCGCCTGCAGCTGGCGGAGCGTCTCCTCCAGCCCCTCGCGCTCACCCTGCAGCGCCTGCTTCTCGTTGGTGGCGTCTTCCGCCGCCAGGCGCAGGTCGCGAATCTCCTGCTCGTACAGCGCCCGGAAGCGGGACGGCTCGGAGTGCTTCTGGCGCAGCACCAGCAGCTCGGCTTCCAGGACCTTGTTCTGCTGCTCCAGCTCGTGCACGCGCTCGATGAAGCTGGCGAAGCGGTCGTTCAGGTCCTGGAGCTGCGCCTTCTCCTGCGTGCGGATCGACTTGAGGTCGTTGCTGATGGCGGCTACCTGGCTCAGGTCGAGGTTCTCCAGGCTGGGCATCAAAGAGCTGGAGCTGGACGAGTAGCTGCGGCGCACGGACAGCGAGGAGGAGACGGGCGCCGAGTAGCTGGAGTAAGCGGAGCGCGCGGTGCTGTAGCCGCTGCGCACGCTGGAGATGTGCACCCGGGGCGTCTCCACGTAGCGCCGCTTGTAGGAGGTCGAGTAGTACGGCTCGTAGCTGAAGGAACTCATGGTGGCGGCCGGCGCCTCCCTGGCCCGCGGAGGCGATGGGGGCCTGGAGAGAGAAAGAGAGAGAAGGGCCGGGGAGAGAGGGGAAGGGGAGGATGGATGGCTGTGTGCGGCTCGGCGCCGTCCTGCCACCCCTATTTATACGCCGCGAGGCTTCTGACGCAGCCTGCGATCGATCACCGCGCGCCGGCCAGTGGGGGCAGCGCGCTGCCGCAGCCCGGGCAACGATTCTGCGCAAAAGGGAAGGCGGGGGCGAGTGATGGGCAGCTGGGGAGCTGGGACGTTCGTCCTTTCTGCTTTTTATCTACGGCCCTTGATTTTTCTCTGAGACCCCCACACGCTCTCCCTCATTTTCTTTTTTTACCCACCTACCGCTCCCAGCCTGCTCATGCCTCCTGACCCTCTATCACTTAAGTGTCCCCATAACAGGTTCTCACTGTCCACTCACACCCTAGTTTTCCGTATCCTGGTGCCTCGCAGACACCCCTGTTCCCCAAATCGCCCTTTCCCAGCCGGAGACCTCCTCGGTCACCCCTTTTAGTGTTTATGGTGATGGCGCCGCTATAGGGCGTTTGACTTAGAAATAACAGGTTGGGTTGCGGGATTGCGGACCCAGGGAGAAGAGTTGGACATTTCTCTGTAGCTCTTTCTGGCACTTTCTTTAATTAATCTCCGTTTCTCCTGCTCTTCTTTTTCTTTCATGTGCTGCTTCTCGACACACAAGGGGTGTGCACACACGTGCACACACACCCCCTCCCACCCCGCCACACACACGCGCGCGCGCACACACACTCTCCCACCTCGCCACACACACACAGGCTGCGGCACTGCAGGTGTTCGTTCAGCATCGCCAAACCTTTACAGCAGTTAATCAGCCTGTTTGTGTTCCTAGATTTTCTTGTTTCTTTTCGGAGAACAGAGCCTCCAATGCTTTTGGCGCGTTGCAGGGTGTGGGTGGAGGACGCAGAAGGAACTGGGAACTGACCGCGAGGAGACGGACTTGCCCGGCACCCTCGTGCTCCCCGGGGAGGGGGGAGATGGACTTGGGGCCGCTCGGTGCCTGCCAAGCCAGATTCCTGCCTGACATCGCCAACCCCAGCATATTAAAAAAGCCCCCTTCCCTTTCCTTACACCTGGGTAGCTCTCGACCTGATGATGTCGAGCAGCCGAGCAGGTGGCTGGTTTTCAGGGAAGCCGCCCCGGCCGACCCGGAGCGGCGCCGGGGGTGGTCTCCGGGGACGAGAACTCACTGCGACTTCTCCTTCCGGAGCCCATAGAAAATAGTCGCGTGTTTCTTCCCCCTATTCTCCACAATTACCAGATAACAGAGGCAGTCAGGACTCCATGGGCTACTTAGGAGGCACCCGGACGCCTGAAAAAGCGTGCGCGCACGTGGACACCGCCCTGCGGGTCACCTAGCTGCCTCCAGTCTCTGGGAGGGATTTTAGAGATTTAGCTTAAAATACTTAAGATTTTTCCAAGCAAGCATTTAGTTTTTGCTCTATTTGTATATCAGCTTACTGACTTTTTTTTTTTTTTTAAGGCCAATAAGGGGAGACATGGTAACTGTTTGCAAACAGAGAAATCGAGATGGCTTCCCGTGTGCTGCTCCGAGGGTGGATGCTTGGAGCATTGCTTCCGGAATAATGCCAAGATGACAGTGAGTGAGGCTCATCCTCTGAGATCCTTTCTAACCCCGAAACCCCCATGATTATGATACCTCCCTGTGCTCGTGGTAGAGGGAAAGGAGAGAACTTTCATCGGGTTTCTAAACAATCTATTGTTTCCAATAATGCAAATTCAGAAACATTGATATTGGTAGTTTAAATCTCTCAAGACAAGTCATCTCAGAGGTCCATCCATTCTAACATTTCAAGCGTAAGGGCGTTAAGCTTTCCTGAATCTAGTTTGGCCCCGGCAGACATGGTAAGGTACTTATTCAGATGAATTGTTATAGCTTACACATTCTGGGTTTTGTGATTCATCAAATTCACCGGTGGGGAAAGGCTTCTGGGGTGGGGTTGGGAGTGAGAACCCTGGATAAGCGGTATGTTTATCTCCTCCCAATCGTCCCTGTGTGATTGAAAGTGGCAGAATGGATTATTTTGTTACCCTGCGCCGTATAAGCCACATTGTTGCACACTCCGTGTGTGTGAGTCTGCATATTCCAGTCTGGAGTGTTCCTGAGTTCATTTCCTTTCTGCCAGCCCCCTTTCAGGAAGTCTCAGGCCATCCACAGGACCTTAAGTCCAGTAGCATTGTTTCCTTCAGGGCCTCAGTGAAGCCTTTGACTGCAGAGGAGGCTGCAGAGAGATGGGGCACCTGGGGGATCCTCCCGGTAGCAGAGAAAGGAGGCATGCTTAGTGAAGAGGGAGACTGGAAGGGCAGATGGGCCCTTTCTGGCCCTGAGCCTGGCCTACTGAGTGGAGGAGGGGCGATCAACCTTGTTTATGAATGTAACTCTCTGGTTTTAAATAGCTCCTGGCAAGGCCTCCTCCTGCTGCTGGACAGCCTTAAACTTTAGGGATCACCTGAACCCAGCCTGGGCCTGAGTTAGGTTTTGTTTACCCCCTCAGGTCAGCCTTCCTCTGCTAGCTGCCTACCTCTTTAATATTCTGTCCTGTCATCCTCCTTTATAAATCCTCCTCCCAGCATTTTGCTCTGAGAAAACCCATGTGGCATTGGCTCTGGTCGTCAGAGCAAAGGTAAAGTGAGCAACTTTGGAAGGTCTGTCAGAAAAAAATTCCTGACTGGGACTTCCCCTCCCCATAAACGCTTCTGCGTCAGGGTTGTTGGTCATCGTGCCATTACATTAGCAGAAGGCTCTTGAGTCTTGTTCCACACTTCTACATTGATTTCCTTTCAAGCCTCTTCTCTACACACATGAAATTGGTTTGGGGGCTGCCAATGAAACACTCCCCTTGGAGATTAAAAAAAGTATTAATAGACAAATATTGAAGCATGCTGGTGAGTCTCTGTAACAGAATCCCTACCACTCTGGTTCGTCCGAATATTGCTGGGTTCCTCTAAAGGACTGTTGGAGGTAATTTAGTTCAAAAGTAAATATGTTCAGGTTACCATAAAAATCCTACGGTATGACTCTTACAACCCCTGAAAATATTTTACTTCTTCAAGGCCAGTAGAGTCTGAAAGCTTCAGACCTATAGGACCTGATGACTGGCAACTTTTCATTATTTTAAAACCTTTTGGCACAGCAGGAATTTTTTGTACTGGCATTTGCTTAGAAAAGCTCATGTTTAGGCTTACATTCTTTTAGGGCAGGGCCCCTGTAAAGCCACATTCCCCTGCTATTGGCGAGCTGTGCCAGTAGTCTAGATCAGTATAGCAGGTGGGTCTCCATCCATCTCACCACCAGGGAGATACATCAGTGTCCTAAAAGTTGGCACCAGCACGTTGATACAAGGAAATGCACGTTTATTCCAAGGAATAAACACAGACAGGAGACCAATCATAGGATGGACAGGCATTGGCGCTCTCTGGTTTATGACAAAATCCCTTGGAGATGGCAATTATCATTCAGAGCAAACAGCCGAGGCCCCGAGAAGTCAAATAACTTTCCAAGTCTCACAGCTACTTCTAGCCTAAGCCTCTATTTAAACTCTCTGTACTGAGTGTTGCTAAACCCACTACACATCCTGGGGTCATTATCGTTTGCCCCTTCCCTATGTCTCTGCAGAATTTGATAATTGAACTCCCGCAGTCTGCAGATTCTAGCGTGCATGTAAAAAACCACTCCTGTCTGGGGAACACCAGTGTGAACTGATCTGTACTGTGAAGTAATTGTTAATGAATGTGTTCCTTCTGGACAGCTAGTGGTTGGAACAAACTATGATTATCGTAAGTTTCCCAAATACACCAATGTATAATTAAATGAGTGCTACCCCTGGAACAAGACATGAAACTGATCCTATAACTTTTCAGACACAGCTCTGAACATCAATGTGCAAACCCCTTTGTTCAGGAATTAATAAGCTAAAACGCAGCTCAGCTGATTGAAACTCTTTAACCACCCCATGACTTCCTCTTTTTTTACTAATTAAAATGTCTTTGTTTTCCAACCCCGGAAAATGGATTTTCTTTGAAATATGTGACCTTAAAAATTGCTCTGCAGATTAAGAGATAAATGCTGGCACCTCATGATGGGAGGTTATCATGCTTTCCACAAAGTCTTTAACTTTTCCAAAGAAACGTAAATAAGATTTAGGTTTTTATTTATGTTTCCAAAAGAAAACATAAATAAAATTTAACTTTGCCAACAGAAATGGGTAGTTTGTTGAAGGCCAAAAATATCTTTCCTTTCTGTTTCTTGTAGCCAATTTCTCTCTTTGTGTGTTATGTTCAATACAGGAGTCGGACATATATCCCCCCCTTCCACCTCCCCATCCCGTCTCTTGGGAAATATGTTTAAGAGAAAACTTGTCCCATTGTACTATAAAGGGTGCCTAATTTTACAGCACCACATTCTGAAGTAAGTGATGCATCATAAAGTGGGCTATGCGGGGACATAAAATTTAGATTGCAGCAGGAACAAGAATGTCATTTGAATAGATTAGAGACAGAAAGCTCCTCTATATTCAGAACACGTGCAGTATTAGAAATGACAGGAACTTAACTGCTGTCCCAGCAGAAATCATGGTGATAGGTTCAGATTCCTAAATGCTTGCTCCATGGAACTAGCCAAGGTAATGTATTTTCTCCCCAGAGGCCTGCTGTGCCGTGTCTTGCCCCTTAATCACAGTCACCAGACGCAGAGGTAAGAGGGTATGTTGGGGACAGCCATCTCAGGCAGGTCGCAGGGATATCAGGCAGGGCCAGCGGGACCAACCCTGTTGTTCGGTTGAGCTTCCCGACTGCGAGGAGACTTATGCTGCCTTTGCAATTTGGGTAGCAACCAGCCACAAAAATATTCCATGTGGCGCCTGGACCTGCTGACCTCTACGGTGGTTTAATAAATCAATGGGAGGAATGTGAGGTTTTGTGTTTGCAAAGATAGAGGATAAGCATTTCCGTCTGCAAGAGAAGAAGGCCCAGGGTTGGCTCCTTCACAGCCAGGCTGGACTCCGTCCAAGGCAGCAGCTCACTTT